GCATGGTGTTAGCAGCAAGGCCCTCTATTTTCTGCGGTGGGGGGGGGGGCACAGTGTCACAAGCACACTATAGAGATGGCAGTTCCCCTTGACCCAGAGTGAACAAGTTCAGGGACGATGTTCAGATTGGGGGCAGCAGTCATACTCAGACCAAGGGGGGGTTGTAGACCACAATGCTAATGCTATCTGCTGAGCCTCTGTGTCACCCTCTAAATGATTATTTTTCAAATAATTTCAGACAGCAGCTTTACTAGTGAATCTATGATGCAATATCCTCTATGTATAATCATAAGTATTTGAATAAGAAAAATGCCATATTGTAAATATCTAAAATAATGCTACAGTTCTTTGTCAGTCACAGTTACACTGTAGTGATCAGTCCCGTTTTCTTATAGTAGAGTTGTGGGCACATAGAAAATCAGAGTTTACCTGAGGTACTATAGACCCTGAGATTGAACCGCTTAGGGAGTGATAACTCCAGCTTACCTGGAAACTCTCACGCTCAGGACCCACACAGTCTGCCAGCCGGTCAGTATCTCTATCAGTGCACTGCAGTAAAACAGGTCTGAGGGTCGTGGTGGCAACATTCCAAGCAGATGAGACCGGACTCCCTTTACCGAAGTTTAAGCTCCTTCTGAGGGATCCCCAGACCTTCCCAAGCCACCAGGTACATCCAGCATGTCCTGGATCCTTCCCTGGGCCTCCAGCCAGTGGGACGTGCCTGGAACAGCTCCCTTGGCAGCCAGCCGGGTTGCATCCTTATTAGATGTGTAAGATACCTCAGCTGGCTCCTCCCAATCCAGAGAAGCAGTTGCAGAGAAACCTCATTTTGACCTACAGCCCAGGGACATAGACTGACCAGTAAACCACTAGCTTCATTTGACAATACAGCTCGTGTTTCACCATCACAGACCTGTTCACTTCCCTCAAAACTGCAGCCACCAAACTAATCACTCTTATGTTCCCTATTACCATCATTCATATGCAAGATCCTGAGGTACTTAAACATCTTCACAATGGTCTTTGGAATCTACTTTTTCAAGAACAAAGGGTGGACCATAGGCTTGGATTTCAAGGTATTGACTTCCATCTCCACCACGTCGCACTCAGCATCTAACCACTCAAGTGCAAGCTGGAGATCCTGGTGGCTTGATGCCAGAACCACAAAATCATCTGCATATAACAGAGGTGTCACCTCTAGCCTCCATGCCGACATCCTGTCTATGAAGATCTCAGAAGGCCAGATGCACCCTTGCTGGAGACCAACACCCACTCGAACCACGTAGATTTAGTGCCAAGTTCAAAGGCCAAGAGCTTATTGCATTTACAGAGGGACGGAGTAGCACGCAGGCAGCCCTGGTACCTGTATGGTGGCAGCACCTCCCACGCATAGTAAGTGCTGAGGCACATGGTCATCTGTGCCTCATCCAAGTCCACAAAGCTCATGTAGGCTGTGTCTGCAAAGTCCCACAAGCCCTCGCGCAACTGTTATTTGGGTATTAAATGAATCATAAGAGCCACTTGTGGTTAAGGTTGGGGGAAGTCTGTGTCAGGCAGCATAGAGGACAAGGCTTGGGTATGGGATGCCAGTACGTATCGGGGCCTCACCCTGGATGGGATGCCAGTACGTATCGGGGCCTCACCCTGGATGGGATGCCAGTACGTATCGGGGCCTCACCCTGGATGGGACGCCAGTACGTATCGGGGCCCCACCCTGGATGGGACGCCAGTACGTATCGGGGCACCACCCTGGATGGGACGCCAGTGCGTATCGGGGTCACACCCTGGATGGGACGCCAGTGCGTATCGGGGTCACACCCTGGATGGGACGCCAGTGCGTATCAGGGCATAAACACACACGGCTACAGACTCTGGGTAACTTAGAGACATCAGTTGTCCCAACTGCTTATATTTGTACTGTGGAATTAAAGTGGAATATGGGGTGATCATGCAAACTCCACTGAGGGACTGATGAACACCCCCAGCATAAGGTGGGAGCCAAAGCACTACCCAAAGAGCCCCCCCCCCCCCCAAAGAGATGAAAGCCAAAATACTACCCCCCTCCCACTGAGACAAGCCCCAATATATTTAGTTGAGATATACAGGATACTCAGCATCTAAGAAATATTAATTTTCTTGATAAATTAATTTAATTTGGGAATATTTCAGTTTGTCTGCCCATCATTTCATCTTAAGACTGGTCAGGGTAACAGTACTTGTGTGTCTAACTGCTAAATATTGCTAAAGCAAGATATATACAATATGGACAAAAGTATTGGGACACACACCTTAATCACTGAATTCAGGTGTTTCATTCAGACCCATCGCCACAGGTGCATAAAATCAAGCACCCAGTGATGCAGTCAGGTTTTTGACATCTGTGAAAGAATGGGTCGTTCTGGAGTGCTTGGAGAATTCAAACGTGGTGCTGTCATACGATGCCACCTTTGATGAGTCTATTTATGGAATGTCTTCCCTGCTAGATGTTCCATGATGAACTGTAAGTGGTATTATTGCAAAGTGGAAGAATTTAGGAACAGCAGAAACTCAACCATGAAATGGCAGATCATGTAAAGTCTCTGAGCGGGGTCACCAAATGCTGAAGCACATAGTTGCCAAATCTCCGTTGGCTCAAAAACTGCAGAGTTCCAAACTTCCTCTGGCATTAACTCCAGCACAAAAACTGCACTGGGTGCTTCATGGAATGGGTTTCCATGGCCGAGCAGCTGCATGCAAGCCTCACATCTCCAAGAGCAATGCCAAGCGTCAGATGCAGTGGTGTAAAGCACACTGCTACTGGACTCTGGAGCACTGGAAATGTGTCCTGTGAGGTGATGAATCACGCTTCTCTCTGGCAGTCTGATGGACGAGTCTGGGTTTGGCAGATGCCAGGAGAACGTTACCTGTCTGAATGCATTGTGCAACTGTAAAGTTTTGAGGTGGACGGATAATGGTATGGGGGTGTTTTTCAGGGGTTGGGCTGGGGCCCTTAATTCCAGTGAAGGGAACTCTTAATGCTTCAGCATGCCAAGACATTTTGGACAATTCTATGCTTCCAACTTTGTGGGAACAGTTTGGGGAAGGTCTTTTTCTGTTCCAGCATGACTGTGCCCCAGGGCACAAAGCAAGGTTCATAAAGATCGAGCGAGTTTGGTGTGGAAGCACTAGACTGACCCACACAGAGCCCTGACCTCAACCCCCATCAAACACCTTTGGGCTGAACTGAAAAGATTGTGAGTCAGGCCTTCGTGTCCAACATCAATGCCTGACCTCACAAATGCTCTTCTGGATGAATGGGCAAAAATTCTCACAGATAATCTCCAAAATCTCGTGGAAGAGTGCCAGCGGTTATAGCTGCAAAGGGGGGACCAGCTCCATATTGATAGCTATGGGTTTAGACTGGGATGTCTCCTCCACTGGTGACTGTGCCTTTTCCCATTTAGCTCTGACTCTCAGAACTCCCTCCCTACTGTCATTTGTCAGTCGAACACAGACTCCAAAATCAAACTGATAACCTGTTTGTTTGCTCAAGCCTATAACCTTCCCTGTCCATAGTTTTTTGTTTGTCATACATTTAGTTTGTTCTTCGTAAATGTCTTTGAGTTTTTGAAAAGAGCTATATAAACAAAATGTATTTTTTATTAGTAGTATCTCTCTGTGGGTACCATGTATATGCTGTCATCTTATTAATCGCAATGTCTTGCTTTCTTCTTGTGTGTCTTCTTTTCTTACTCAGGACACAAGAGAATATGAGGTGTCAATATGAGGGGCATCTCCACGCTTGAGGAACTCCCTCGATTCAGCCCCCATCTCCCCCCAGTCATACTGATCCCTGCCCCCCTCCCACTTCCACTGGATGTAAATACCCCCTGAACCCCCCTCCCCCCATAAATCTGTCCTCCAGGCCCACATCAGAAGCCCCCGGGGTCACAGGACACAGATCCAGAGGGAGAGTGAGAAGGAGTGCAGAGGAGCTGGAGGAGGACCTGCCCACTTACTGACCGGCAGGGCTGGCCTCTGATTTAGTAGCGTGGGGCTTGGTGGGGTTTCTGAAAAGAGGTAGCGACAGATGGAAAGACACTGCAAAGCCCTCACATGCATGTCCGAGTCCCGGTTCAACACCCGTTACATGAGAGGCCACGACATTGGAGTATGTGGCCGGGAGCGCGACGCGCGGCCACGATGTAAGGAGCGCAAATAAGAAGCTGGGAGACGCGGGTAGCGAGGAAGCGATTAACCCTCTGCTGTCCCCTCTGCCTGCCTGCTGTCATTTTTACAGCTTTGTACTTCGACCGTTTTTAGTACCTGTAATACGGTAGTTTCCGATTTCCCCCCGCACCTGAGTATATAACGGACGAGACCAGATGAATAATTTATTTTGATGTATATGTGATGTTTTATGCGGAGTAATGTAAATTTTCATTTAAGAGGAACGTTAAAGATTTCCCTAAATAAATGGTAAAAAATAAATAAAAAAGAACGAATAAAATCTTTTTAAAAATGTAACCTGTTAAGTCGTTTTTTCTTTCTAAAGTAGATACTTCGCTTCGCAAAGTAAATCAATTTAGTTATTTCCATCAAACATGTCAGTAAGATGAGTTTCAAATATTTTGGATGCCGAAATGTTAGAATTATAATTACGAATTCTCAGTAGGCCTAATTTAATTTCAATATTTTTAACGGATGCGGCTGTACATGGCTTTAGGTGGGGATTGTGGTTTGTGTTTAAGTTTATGCTGATTAAAACCGATACATAATAGGCCTACAGAAATTAGATAAAAATTTTGGCTTTAAAGCCACTGAACCTTGTTTAGGATCGCGCACAACTTCCGAGTTGCTCTATTCCGGCCAGTTAGTTTTCAGCTGAATGGGTTCGTATCTTTATCATAAAACACTGCAGCAAACAAAAACCAAGGAGAAGTGGAGGATGCAATTTCTTTTTCGGTTTCCACCCCTTTCTTACGGGGGGGGGTGTACTTCTGACGTCTCCTTACTTGCAAGAAATGCTCCACCCACCTTTAGTTTTTTTTTTTTGCCGAAGGCGAGTGAGGCGATAGTGTGTTTGCGAGCGCGGAAAGCCGAGAGATTAAAAACACAACGAAATAGGTGACAGCTGCAGCCGCCAAGACGCCCAGCGACACCGTAAGTCCGCCGATCGCCAGCCTTATGCGCATATGTGTGTCCAGACGGTAACATCACTGTCACATCACGATTGACAATAAACGGGACTCTGGTGTCGCTCGCAGAAGCGAGGGTCCAACGGAAAGCACTTCTGCTTTTTTGCGAGGGGTTACACCGATCATATTCATAAGGACTGAGAGTCTCTGTCTGGGTGCAACAGTGGCAGGTAAATTAAATGTCGGAGGGGACGTGGGCTCGGACCGGCGTAAGTGGGGGTGCGCGGCTTTGGGCTGCGTCCTGCGATGGACCAGTGCATCCGAGTCCGTCTCAAAGCGCGCAGCCCCGCGACACGTAGTCACCTAAAAGCAATCGGGAAATAGTACCGTTTTCTCGTATTTCAAATCGATAGGCCTACATAGTGTTTTTTTTTTTGGTGTGATGTTGACTGGTATAACCATTTTCATGACGCTAAATTGGGATTCAGCATATGATGATTATGCCAGTTTTGACCGTTGTGCTGTCGGCGATATCGTTGCCTTTACTGTTGCACAATATAACTAGTGCACGTTTTTAAGTAAATGGGTCAGTTGTGTAGGGGAAACACATTGTTGCTGTACTCAGCTGGTTCCTCCATCTTTTACAAGCTGCCATGTGCCGTTGTTTTGAGTGCTGTTCACTTCTGTTCACTGTGTTACATGCGACCTGTGCACAAAAGAGACACTATATAATTTTATAGATTAAAATCTAGTATTTCCGAGACCATTTCGGTTTACTGTGGAAATGGAAGTGGAGTCATCTTACTATCTCGTAAGATCAGAGACGTGGCTGCAGGAAAGAGCTTTAGAGTCACCAAGTCCTTCATAAAGTAGGTAACTTAACGTGGAAAAAATGGCAGGTTGAGTATAAGAGAGGACAGAGCTGGGGTGAGTTGATGGGTGTCTCCTAAATACTAATTTCAGGGTGCAAGGTCATAGCCGGTACCCACAGCTCAAGGTGCGATTCCTCTGTCATAATACCATATTTTTACTATTTCTCTGTCTTTATTTAAACACTCAGTCTCAGGAGTGATTCAGGGCTACATTTCACTGCATGATGTAAGTGCATAGCTGTGCATGTGACAAATTAAACTTCTTGAATCTTGGAGCATCATAATCTACGTGTGACTGTAATTTGCCAGGACACCGTAAAGGCAAACAGGTGTTTGGTGCGATCAGATTCTCAACAAACAAACAAAAAAAAATCACAAATGAATTAGACATGGTTCTGCTGCTTTCATTCTCAATGACAACTGGCATGATGATGATAACGCCTGTTTTCATATGTTCTCTGTCAGAAACCGGTCCATTTTCACCGGTCCATTTTCAGATGGCTGCATATTTGGATTGTGTACTGGTCCAGCAGTGCCCCTTTTCAAAGACATTTTATTTATTTATTTTTAAACACTCTTCTTTAGTCCCTTGGTCATATAAACAAGTGCGGTATGTAAATCCAGCTTTGGATGCGTTCTCCAAGAGTAGGGCGACCAACCGGAGCACCACCGGTTCATGTGGTCTCATTGGCTGCCGGGAGGAAGGTGGGTGCCGCACGTTTGCATGCTGTGAGCGGCGTCCCTGTGGTGTGCTGAGGCGAATTGGGCACTAGCTCCTGTGCAGATGGACACATCCTTCTTACGCTGCACTGCACAACCGTGCGGCACTTCACTTCCAAAATGGCTGCATCACCCCCTTCCTTTCTTCAGCAAGCGTGCAACTTCCTGTTCAGTGCAAACCTCAAATTCCCATGTCGCTGGGTAGTTTTTCACTATCTCTGCCTGTGCTGTACTTTTGGCTTGATGTTGCGTTCTGTATTTTTAGGTTCACTGTTCTTCTTTTCCTGCACACTTATGTCTTTCTTTGCCTCCTGCCTCTACTGTCTCTGTTTCTCTTTTGTGAGACTCTGCATGGTTTGCGCACAACAGCAGAAGATATGTTTGAATTTTGAAGGTCTTCAACCTTTTGTTTAAATCTGGTTATCTGAAGTCAAGATGTTATTGAAACTTCACTCAAAAACTTAAAAAAAAAAATCTTTGCATATTCACTCTACCAGGTTGGGGCCATTCCGGAATGCATTCATCAATTCCGATCCAAATCAGCATATAGAACTGCAGTTGGAATTTGTTTCCCTGAAATTGAAATTCAATTCCAATTGTGTTCCCCATAGTTTTTCTTTCCAATCCCAACTCCAGTTCCATTTCCTGATTTGGATTGGAAATGATGAATGCATTCCAGAATGGCCCCAACCCTTCCCTCTACATTTAAAGTAAAATAGTCAAATATTTGAGGCATGTGAATTTTAATCCAGCAAGCACCAAATTAGCATATTTGTGTTAAAACGTCTTGTGAAAACATTTTTGTTGTCTTAGTTGTGTGTGTTGTCTTAATAAAATCATGAAGTGGAGTTATGTTAATCACAACATATTACACAAACTTGTACTTGAAGTCCTTTTGTTCAAAACAGAACTGAAATTTGAGCTGAAACGACTCTTATCAGGAGGTGCAACCAGCAACTTCTCACTGTGGAGAAGCTGTGGGGTGATCAGGGTTTCCTGAGGGACGAGGTTCGCTGACATGCCTCTGAATGTTGCTGCCTCTGATACTTTCATTTGCCCCAGTTTTGGTGAGATGGCCTGAAATTTTGTCTCTGTTATGGCTCCCATCCTCGTTGCGCTCGTCCTACTGCCAGTCAGCCTGCTTACTGCTTCAGGAGTGTGAAATTAGATCCCCTCTGCTATCCATCTCTGCCGGCCATAATTTAGTGTTTGTGGTGGCTGCCAGATGGAGGGCCTTCTCTAGGGACCCTGGCTGTGTGTCGGTTTGAAGTGCTTCCCGTCCGCCCGTGCCTCCTCGCCCCCGCGGGGAGGTCAGGACGGGGAGGCCGGCACGCTCACCCCGAGGTGCACAGGGGACACAGAGATTTGCTCACAAATGGATTCTCCGGCGCAAGGACACTCCATCTGCACATAACCCCAGAAGCCAAAGACTACACATAGAGGCTCGTGAACCAGACACTGACATAGCGTAACGCTCTCTGTTTACCAGTTTCTGTGGTCAGATAAGGGTTGCGACAAAAAAAAATGTGACACACCACACAGTGCTTGATAATATGTAAATCGACTTGAGCCAGAGTAAAGCCAGGGTCCTGGGTGCTAACTTTGCATGACAGCTGCTAATGCAAACATTCCGGAAAGATCTGCAGGGTCATCCACAGCATGATGAGCTGCATGTGCTCACTGGTGGTTTTATGCACTTTGCAGCTCTTTTGTTTTTGCAGTTGTTTGCCTGCTGCAGCTGCACCTGCGAGGTGCAGCAGTGACCTTTTCACTTGTTTCCGGAAACCGCAAGCTAGAGGAAAAACAAAACATAAGTAGCCTTGTTGGATTAGTACGCTTGCAGTGTATGATAACAGGAATGCGAGTGAAAGCAGTGACATTCTTATCAGATCTTCAGCTGCGAACAGGAACAGTTAAAATGAACCATAAATAAGCTCTCAGCTGCAGCTGAAATTGCAGCCCAGGAGGTCTATCTCGATCATCTTTCATGTGGTGGAGTGCAGCTAATGTTGGCTTATAGAGTCAGTCCCTGGGTCCTTATTTGTGTCCACCTTTTGGCTGAGATGGTAGGAACATTGCATTCTGGGAGTTGTTCTTGCAGTTGGTGCGGTAGTTATTTGTATTCGCGGCCTGGGGTTTGACGTGTGTAGAGTAGGAATGAGCAAGAATGAATCATGGGTTGGGGAATGCTCTAAGGATTTTTGGTAAATGCAGAATCACTCTACCCTAATTGGGACGGTTCGGCTTTCAGGCCTTGTGAAAGTATGGAAGGTGTATTGTGGCCAATTTCACTTTAGTCCTACTTGAATCTGTTATCTTCTGCTGGTGGTGGCAGGATTTCACTTACTGTTTTATGGCACAGATGTGACCCTGCTCTTGGTTTTAGTATCTTGGAGCACTGTCAGTGTTATAATTAACAGACATGTGTGGGTGTTGGTAGTGTTTGATTATAGCTTTTATCACTGTGAGCCTCTGTTTGCCTAAACTGGACAGGGAGTGAAATCTAATTTTTCCCCCCCCCCCAACCATTTTGGTCTTTTCCAACACTGTGGGTCTTTTCATACCAAAATATAATATATGTAACGTATCTTTAGTATTTTAGGTATTTATCATTCTGGGGCCTCTTTTCTCTGTATTGTCTGTATTCACTGCTCTAAACTGATCTGCTTACCTGGAAGTATATATGCTTGTTTAAAAGTTTAAAAATGTTCATTATAATATATGGCAATGGAATAGCTGTGTATGTATTAGTATTTTAAAATTTATAACAAAAATATTAAGGAAGGATCTACTGGTGCCTTTGATTTTTATGTTGCTTATTATGATCTCTAATATTTATCCTCTTGTTTTCTTTACTCAGTGTATGATGTGTGGTGGCCCCCCCCAGCTCATGGGCCCCCCCTCTGTCTGAGCCTGTGCTGACGGGGTTGGGGGGGGGTCCTTGACGGCCATGCGTCTGACTGCACGCCGTGGGGCCACAGGACTCCTGTGCCTTCTGGCAGTTTGCATCCTGCTGCGGATCCTCCAGGGGGCGCTAGAGTGCCCACGTCGCAGACGGATAACTGGGGCGCCTTCGGTGTCGGTGCGTGACTGGCAGCACACTGAGTACCGGTACGGGCGCGACGCCCCGCTGGTGTTTGTAGGTGGCGTGCCTCGGTCGGGGACTACACTGATGCGTGCCATGCTGGACGCCCACCCACACGTGCGCTGTGGTGAGGAGACCCGCGTTATTCCACGCCTGCTGGCCCTCCGCCAGGGCTGGGCGCGGCCCGGACAGGAGCGCCAGCGGCTAGAGGAGGCAGGCGTCAACCAGGAGGTGCTGGACTCGGCTGTGGCTGCCTTCCTGCTGGAAGTAATCGCGAGGCATGGGGAACCTGCCCCCCTGCTTTGCAACAAAGACCCCTTCACACTGAAAAGTGCAGTCTACCTCTCACACCTTTTCCCCAAGTAAGAGGTTTCCACATGCTCTCCCATCCTATATAAGCTCACCATGCTCTGTCTGTGAGCTCTGTTATGCTGCTCTCTGTATTAGCCTACTCACCATGCTCTGTCTGTGAGCTGTTATGCTGCTCTCTGCATTACCCTACTCACCATATTCTGTCTGTGAGCTGTTATGCTGCTCTC